CAATAATGAAATATAAACACAATTAAATGGTAGTAGTAATCCGTCACTACACTCGTCTAATTACGTTGTCTTAATAAATATACAATAATAAAATATAAGCACAATGGTAGTAGTAATCCGTCACTACATTTGTAGGTATATGATTTACATCACTTACAACGGAAAAAAAACAATGATAGAAGTTTTACCTTCATTGTAATAGTGGTTGGTTTGACGTACGAGCACACGTGAAGTTTCCCAGCATTGCGTCACGAGTTTAAATATAGTTTGTCCTATATATATATATATATGCATAAATAACCGTAAATGTTGGTAGCACCGACTTGATAGTGTTTGTTCACCACGGTAGTTTATCAGGGATCTATTAACTTAAAAAAAAAAAAATTAATCACCCCGTCCTACGCGTTTTATACCGTGTACATATTACTCTTATTTATATAATAATGTATTCTAGATACATTAGTTTCCACCCAAGACTGTCCTGGTGTAGCCACATTAACAGCAGCGTAGTGACACGTATATAACATGGCTACACGTATGTAACATGGCTCTATAGAGGTAGCACAAGAATGATAAGACATTTAGTGATATATGTCTATATCGGTACAGTTATCCGGATTGGCGTTTAGTTCGCTCACGTTTTGGCTTTTTAATGTTTTTTCCGTTTTTTTTGCCTCTAGTTTTGGCTTTTTAATGTTTTCCGTTTTTTTTTGTTTTGCCTCTAGTTTTGGCTTTTTTGCCTGTGCACTATCGCGATTACATGAATGGCTGAAAGTTTTTCCCACCCGTGGCTCAGCGGTAGAAATCGGATTTCGATATCTGTAGTGAGAAGAGCACAGATTATCATTTTGAGCTGTCTGTCTACGTATTTACAATGATGAACTCTGGGTTTTGATTCCCTTCGGTGGACACAGTAGATATCCCGATGTGGCTTTGCTATAAGGAAAAAAAAACAAACACACACGTATTGTGAGCTTAGTGCTTAACACCAAACACATAAGACATGAAACCTATATAAGAGGTATGGTCATGTTTCGTGCACAGGTGAGCTTGGTAGATTTTAGGAGCAAACGACTGGTGTTTTTACAGAAAGTAATTCTTTGTAGTTGGTTTATTAGACCTTATTATGAGGATGTTATAATAACTTTAATAATATTTTAAGCTGGTAGTATCTCGTGAGATATTATTTGGATTATGGCCGAAATTCTGGTCAATAGTAAGGCTATTCACTGATGATCCAGCGAATATAATCATTATATAGCCTTTAGTTTGCCCCCTATTGTCTCAGCTGTAAGTCTCAGGGCTCATGACGCTAATATTCGGGGTTCAATCCCTGCTGTGGGCATGGAGCAGGTAGCCCATTGTGAACTTTGTTCTCTTAAACAATATCTTAATGCGTGTACTTATTTATTGAGTAATAAATGCCTATCAACGCAGTGTTTACGGCGTTTTTGTATTTTTTTGTGTGACTTCATAAGTTATTAGGTATGCTGCAACCAATCAAAGCATGGGCTCACAAGGAACTTTGAACATAAACAGATGAGAAAGATGTAATTCTAGGGTAACATCAATAACAAGGAACTTGGCTATCCCACCAATAAACACATTTAACTTCGTGTGTATTATGGACGATCACGTGTCAACACCTAGTAATTCGTACTTGATTTTTGAAATGTTGTGCCCGAGAAACAGATAAATGCCAACACTCCGATCCCTCAGTAACGGTGTGCTTTAACGTGCGTGTTCTACTTTCTAATACAAGCTATATACGAGCCAAGTGAAGGGGAAACGGAGAGATACTTTGTTGATATGTTATTTCATTTATTTTGATTTTTAGGTTTAGGTTTTGTTTTTGTGCTTCAGTGGATTTAATACAATCGTTACAAAAGACACCGACTTTATCCTGTACTTCAACACATGTTTTTCTAGATATTCCTAAGACAAACAATATCTGACAAACGTAAAAATAATAAATCCATATTCTACTCTTTTTTTTTTTGTAAAATAAAACTAAATAAAAATGCATAAACAGTTACATTTAATATCTCTAGATATTTTCAAATACTTGGAAACCAAAAATGGGAAATATATCACAATTAAAAACACATTATAACCCGAAAAGTATATCATCAATGGTGAATTTCCTAATGAGTCACTTGCTGCAGATATTTGTTAAACTTGTACATAAAAGTTTGTATTCAAATCAGTATGTATGTATGAAGGGAAAGAGAATAATTGTGTGTGTATATATATGTATGTATGTGCGTATACATATGTATGTATGTATACATACCGTATATGCTGGCGTATAAGACGACCCCCCAAATTTTCAAGTTAAAATGTACGTTTTGGGCTATACTCGCCGTACAAGACGACCCCCCTCCCAAATCGTGCTAATTTTTAAGGTTACAGTTGTGTTTTTGGTTCAACGTCACCGAAAAACGGTGGGGAGATATTGTTGGTTAACGACCACAATCTGCAATACTTTATGAGTGGGTGCTGTGTTTTCAGTAGCTGATGACTGTGTTCGTATCGTTTACACCAATCTTCGTTCCAGTATAAATTTAAATCATTTATTACAGTGCATTAGTTGTTTCATTAGAATTAGAATGAAATGCTTACTGAATATATTTAATAAATTCAATACAACACATTTTATAAGTACTTTTATTACACTACACTTTTATTATAATAATGTGAATTATGTTGTTTCAGTAGAAAATATTTGTGTCGGTAGTTGCCAAGGCAGGCTAACACCTGCCTTGGTACACCAAAATCCCATGCTAACAACTTCCCGCACACCACAGGATTTAAGGTTCACATTTTATACCCGGAGTATAAGACGACCCCCAATTTTTGGGTGGATTTTTTAAGGTTAAAAGGTCGCCTTATACGCGGACATATACGGTATGTATGTATGTGTGTATACATATGTATACGTCTGTATATATGTATGTATGTATTTCTGTGTATACGTATATTTATGTGTGCACGTGGCTTTTTGAAACAATATCAAATTGGGAAACAATATCAACTCGGGAGAAACAAGTGCAACTCATAGCGACATAAGTTTATATTTTAAGTAACTGGTAGCAAAGTTTAACATAACTATAATTATAATACCCAACATAACAAAACGTTCGATTTTCAAAAGAAAGAACAGAGCATACTAGACAGCAATGATGAAGTTTGATTTGTTGGTGAGTTAATATTGTGTAAGGTATAAGGTTTGTTCCTGTGTAATTATTTGGTAGAAACACTACCGGCTAAATCCTTACATTCGTGTTATCAGAAAGAAGAACGTGAGCTTGAAACGAGGGTCACGTGAACATTGCTTATAGTTCTGTAGTTAGGGTTTAAACGATGCCGCTTACACCACTACACACATTAATCCCCAGGTTATTTGGTTTGCCCCTGAAGAAGAAAGATCCACCTTTCGAAAGGGATCGGGGTTATAAGGTTTTTTATTCATTTATTTTAGAACTGATAGTTGACTCAAGTTTTACTGTTTAAGTGGCACTTAGAAAAAAAAAACAACATAACTCTTGTGTATTTACGATACAACGACACGAAAGTGAAGTACTGCAGTAATTCAATATTAGCAAGAACGATTTTCCATTGACAAAAAATGATCTGAATTTTCTATGTTCAAACAGAAAACCTGACTTTCCTTTGACAAACAATGAACTGAATTTTCTCTGTTCAAACAGAAAACCTGACTTTCCTTTGACAAATAATGAACTGACTTTCACAAACAATGAACTGACTTTCCTTTCACAAACAATGATCTGACTTTTCTATGTTCAAACAGAAAACCTGACTTTCCTTTCACAAAAAATGAGCTGAATTTTCTCTGTTCAAACAGAAAACCTGACTTTCCTTTCACAAACAATGATCTGACTTTTCTATGTTCAAACAGAAAACCTGACTTTCCTTTCACAAACAGAAAACCTGACTTTTCTATGTTCAAACAGAAAACTTGACTTTCCTTTCACGAACAATGATCTGAATTTTCTATGTTCAAACAGAAAACCTGACTTTCCTTTGACAAACAATGATCTGAATTCTCTGTAAAACAGAGGATTTAACTTTTCTTTGACAAACGAGGGTCTGACATTTCTCCATCAGTAGAGGAATTTTCTTTAAGAAGTGGGAATTATTTTTTAAATAACAACTTTTTTAACGAGTTTTTTCGCCTTTAAAGTTGTTGTTTTTGTTCTCCTATTGTTTTTTATATTTGTTACCAACATCTAATGCTACATTGTCGATTATCACTACTTGTATGTTTTCGTTTTCTGTGTATATTCGTTACCAATATTGTGATGTTACATTACCGATTGTCAGTGTGTGTTCTCGTGGTATGTTTGTGTGTGTTACCAATATCGTGATGTTACGTTACCAATTGTCAGTATGTGTTCTTGTGGTATGTTTGTGTGTGTTACCAATATCGTGATGTTACATTACCGATTGTCAGTATGTGTTCTCGTGGTGTGTTTGTGTGTGTTACCAATATCGTGATGTTACATTACCGATTGTCAGTATGTGTTCTCGTGGTATGTTTGTGTGTGTTGCCAATATCGTGATGTTACATTACCGATTGTCAGTATGTGTTCTCGTGGTATGTTTGTGTGTGTTACCAATATCGTGATGTTACGTTACCGATTGTCAGTGAGTGTTCTTGTGGTATTTTTGTGTGTGTTACCAATATCGTGATGTTACGTTACCGATTGTCAGTATGTGTTCTCGTGGTATGTTTGTGTGTGTTACCAATATTGTGATGCTACATTACCGATTGTCAGTATGTGTTCTCGTGATATGTTTGTGTGTTACCAATATCGTGATGTTACATTACCGATTGTCAGTATATGTTCTTGTGGTATGTTTGTGTGTGTTACCAATATTGTGATGCTACATTACCGATTGTCAGTATGTGTTCTCGTGATATGTTTGTGTATTACCAGTATCATGCTGTTACGTTATCGACTCTAATTTATTTACAGTTTCGAACCATGGCAGTGACTGGCACGTTGCTCAAGCCACAGTCTCTAGTCTTCACAGAACCTTTTCCAAGGACAAGATCGACACAGAACTTGGTGTGCACATCGGTTTAAATAGTGTCAACATAACGCTTCAGAGTAAGTGTTATTTTATCCGAATTTTCAAGCATCAAACAAATGTATTTCATTTTAGTTTTCACATTATCTTTATTCGCTCGTTTTAATTCCCTCGTTCTTTCATTTGTTTCCGTCTATTTCTCTATTTATAATCAATCGTGTAACTGAGTGATATAATGAGGTTATCTGTCCTCCATTTTGTGTCTTTCAGTCTCTTGTATAACAGTGAAAGAAGACACAAACGTCAGCTGGTAGATAGTGTTATTTTATAGTTTTCACGTTCTGACCAACTTTATAGAATATATTGTCATGAACAAAAGAGTTTATACATAAGCTATAATTTACTTGGAACGTGGCCCAGTGGTTAGCGTACTCGGAGAGTGAATCCAAGAGTTCGCGATCCATTCCTGCAAAAATACGTCAAAGTTTTTACGACCACGAGTTATAAGAGTGGCGGTCAAACACCACTATTCGATTAGGCAGTAGTAGATATAGAATAAACGATGGGTGCTGTTCTTTAGCTGCCTTCCCTCTAGTCCATCTGTTCAAAAATGAGGGGCAGCTAAATGATGATAGCTCTTGTGTTACCTTGCGCGAAAAATCTAAACAAATAAATATTTTTGCTCAGTGGCTTTTCTGATTTCGCTTGCATCTAGTGTTCATTTTACTAGTAAAGGTTTATTTGTGTTCCTTAATCGATCTTGAGCTTATTCGCTAGTTCTATAATGTAAAGTTTTTTATTATCAGAAGTAACTTGGTATGCCACTATACGAAAAATGAGCTTAAATTGTCCTGAAAATTAGACCAATTAGATTCCATGTTGTAACCATTGACACTGATAAATGTATAGTTAACTGGATAATCTGTTGCATAATAAAGCAGTTTATCGTTGTTGCCAGATGGAGTAGGTTATAATATAGCTGCTGCCAGATGGAGTAGGTTATGATATAGCTGTTGCCAGATGGAGTAGGTTATGATATAGCTGCTGCCAGATGGAGT